TTTTGTCTCCAAAATTAAAGTTATGGACCACTTGCCCTTCACTGAGATCCAGTTCTCCCATCACAGCCGTCACTTTGACCAGTAGAAACACAGAACGATCTGCTGCCGTAGACAACTGTATGACAACAACACCCCAGCATTTTAAATATTTCCTCTAGGGATATTACCACACAGAGTAAAAGGGGGAAATGATAGTGTGAAACAGCAGACGCACTTTATCAACATCAACATAGACAGAGGCAGAGGCTCCCAGCTTCATTTGAAAGAGATTACAGTATAGACGGTCCGTTATTTATTAATCCCTCTGTGTTTTTATATTTTTACTTTTTATCCGCTCCCGTTGTCTTTATAAAGTTAACATATTGCGCCGTCATTTCAAACTCAACACTTCCTGAATTTCTTTCAGATTAAAAGCCCCTCATAACCTCGGCTGAGAAAATCCCTCCATTTTCTAAATACTTCAAATGTAGCTCCTGCCATCTGCTGACGCTTTTAGGTGACTACAACAACATTTCGGCTGGCACATGAACAGACACAGTGACTGAAATAATAGTAAAAGTAATAAAAATAGGACAAGAATAACCTGATGACATCACACACGTCGTGAAAGACTACCGGAGATAATTGGTGAGTACCATCGTGTAGTGTGTCATGTCTGTCGGCCAAGTCAAGGCACGATTTTATGACTCCACAATTGTGTAATGTGACATGGTGACTTTCAGAACAGGCAGAAAAGTCATGTAGTACTAGTGTGTACCAGGCATAATGCAAGTCTTGAGTCTGACCTGTCTGTCAGCGAGTCCTCCTCCACCTTTTTTTAGACTCTACCATAGACAACGGCAGCATTTCTTCTCCCAGTAGCTAGTCACAAGCTTCATGACTTCTTTCGGACTGATAGGTTTAACGTTATCTCCGTTATTAGAACCAAAAGACAGCCGTTGCTGTTTCGGAGCTGAAGGACCAGCGTTCTAAAAGTAACGGAAGTAACTGATGTCTTGTTTGAAAATGTACTCAAGTATTTGATTACTCAAACAGCAAACTAACGCATTAGCTTACTTGTTACTGCAAAAAGTAATCAAAGTACTCTAATGTGTTATTTTGTAATGAGTTATACCCAACTCTGCTCTTCATATATGGCAAAATATGTCTACTTCCAACTTGCTATGGTGAGATACATGTAAAAATGTAAGAATTTCGTAACACAGATTGTTTTTTTTTCATCGATATAAAACTTAATATAAAATACAGGCACATAGGAGGATATGTAATGATGGCAAATCTGTATAGCCCAGATAGTCCTGAAAAAAGCAAGATAAAGCATGTGTATGTAGCCTATATAATGACTGTGACATGAGCTTCAAAGTAGAGGCAGTAAAAATACCCCAAAAAAGGCCTAGGGCCCAAAGGGTTAACAGACGTTGTTGAGTTCTGCTGGAAGAAGCACTAATGTTAGATAATCGGCTAGTTCGAGATGAACTGCACCTCGCCTGGAAAGTAGACGAGAGCAGGCGGCTGCAGCAGGAGGCGGTGACAAAAGGCCGCGGTGAAATCGAACAGTTTCCCGACAGTTTCCAGCAGCCTTCAGTCCGTGAAGGAAGTCACAGACACACTTACATCCTGTCTGGAATTATGTCAATTCATTAAAAAAAGTGATCAGACCCATATATCAGTTTGTTTTCAGTCTCCAGTTGTTTCAATTATGATAGTTTGATTTCTTAAAATGCTTTACTGGTGATCTGTAATTTATGTTCATGGTTTAACCTCCATTTTACATGAATTCTCCTGTAAATCAGCATCGTATCAGTTTGACCTGTCCCCTCAACTACACAGGCTAAATAAACTGTGCTTGACTATAAGGTTCATATTTTCAGAGGAAAAAAAATTCAAGATAACAGCTTTCATTAAAGATGAGTCAGATACAGTCAGGGCTTCACATCTGTACAGATGTAATTTTAAGAATCCTCACATCTCATTGACCACAAGTCCCTGTGTTGCTAAATACTTCAATAATTAAAAAAGCCCAGTGTTAATATACAGTAGACTCTGTATAGTTTATGATGAATGTAGGCCTATTTAGTCTCTGACAACTAAACTTCAACATCAGTCATACAATATGTTTTCTGTTCACAGAATAAACCTTCAAATCAGACAAATAAAATTTTAATCTCTAAAAATCAACAAAAATGAATAGTTTATCTAAAACGTCATGTTTTTGAGTCTACATCCAAACCAATCAGCTGTTTAATCGGGTGAGAGCCAGGCGGTGCAGTCGGTGGAGAGCAACTGCAGTGCCTGGCACTAAAAACTGCGGCTGCCTCACTCTTGCTGTTTTATCGCCGTCCACTTTTGTAATACGTCAGAGCAAGTCGGAATGAAGTTGGACACAAAACTAACTGGCATGCATTGTGCGCCAATTGCCATTTATCAAATCTGCGCAGGCCTGGCTCATCTTGGACGAGCCTAATTTCAGCTATCATAGCTAAGTGCCTTTCTCTGTGAAAATACGTCACAGAGACAGACTTAACTTGCTTGCTGTGTGGGAGCTCCAGATGAACTCATGAAAGCCTTTGCTGTAGATGTGTTGTAGTACCAGAGGGTTACTGTTGTACCAGAAAGGAGAAAAACAAAGAAAAGGAGAGAACAGCCCTTTCCAATCCTGACAGGAGAGGAGGGTGAAGAGAGAGGAGTGAGAGGGGATAAATTAGGCACACCTGTGAGCTGGGGGAAGGGGGAAATCAATCAACAAGCTGCATGAAGGAGAACAAAGAGGAGTGAGAGTGTCTCTAGGAGAAGAAATTAAAAGTTTACTTAAATTACTTTGCTCACCTTAAAGGGAGAAACAATAAGCTAAAAGTAAGGTGAGCAGTAGTTAAAAAAAGGATTTGCTGGACCGCCTTAACATTCTGGATAAGAAAGCTCCTTAAAGGAGTGTGCTGATCCTTGGAGCAGGTGGGATAAAAGGACTCTTATCTAATTCTGTAACCTGTTTGGATGCACTGGTGGACTTCTTTGCAGTGGCCATCCGATAAGTTCTCTTACACTGCCCTCTCCTTGCTTCTTCCTAATTCACAGTACTCCTTTTTCGCCATACCTCTCTCCTACACACACACACATGCACTCACTCTTCCTAAACTGAACTGAATGAAATTGAATACATCCCTACACACTCACACACACGTACTCTCACAGGGTCCTCCTTGCATTGATTTATTTAAAGGACCTTTAAATTTTATTTGGACTGGTATTGGTTTCTGGATTTTTATTTATTTATTTTTTTATTAATAGGAAATTTGTGTGTGAAATCTTGTCTTTGATTATTAACCTTAATTAATTCATTTGAGTCTGTTTTTGGGTTGAATATAACAAGGTTAAATTCAAGAATGAAACAATGATTTGTGCCATCTGGGCTAATTCCCCATCTAATTTAAGATAATAATTAAAAGACTTGACAGTGTAGGATTGTATTTCTTCTCCTGTCTTGCACCCAACATATACACTATTTAATTGGGGATAAGTATATGCTACACTGCAGTCAAGCCAGCCACTGTTTGAATTATGATGTGTGTATTATCATGCAGTTTAGGTACCAGTGCTAGTAACAGCCAAAAAGGAAGAAGAAAGACATTTCAGATATCATCTCTGGCATCTTGTATACTCAATAAAAACGTTCTTTTACACATCATATATTAAATAAATCTTATTTAATCTGTGATGTCACGAAAGAAGGCCTAATATTACAAAACTGTGTCCACATTAGGTTTGCTTAGTAGGCGCAATGGATTTCTGCTCACATGACCAAATAAAATGTCACGTACCTTTTTATAGTACATTACTGTACAAAGAGACACACCTCAAAGGACTTTTTAACACTGTGACAGTTCCACATATTCAAATATATATATATATATATATATATATATAATCTCTTTATGACTACATATCTTGTGGATCCAAGTGGATTAAAACAGTGCCAGAAATCATGTAGTGGTATGGTAAAATATGGTAATGCTAGAGGCTTTTCGAGTGGACTAAGGCTCTAGAAGAGTGATATTTTCTCCTCGGGATGCAGATTGTATGTATATCAACCTCACTTCAACACCAACACAGTGACAGAAAAGTTGAAACTGAACACCACTGTCAGGGAAAAGTAATTGACACAGAAAAGAGTGACATGAAGAATAAATCCAAAGATTGTCTTGAAGAAAACACATAAAAATGCAAAATATCTAAAAAATAAAAAAAATCAATCATTTTTAACCCATTTGTTTTATTTTTCAGTGGAACTTTTTTCAGTGACAATACAACTTTTTCCCAATACAAGTGTTACAATGTCGAAGTGTCCTTTTTTAGTTCTGGTCTTGTTTTCAATGCCAAATTTGATTTTAGATCCCAAAATTTCACTGTCCCAGCTCTACGCTGCTTGAGCTCACTTCATGAAATCATGAGTCAGTCAACTGTAGTGACTCTAGACTGCCGATAGGTGATCTGATTGCCAAGGGGTGGCAGGGTGGAGAGAATTATGTGACAGCATGCATGCCAGTGAAATGCCAGCGTGGGCAACTTTGAGTGACTAAGAAAAACGTAACATCTATCTTTAATGCCAGTTTCACACAGGACTTGGAAGCATCACGCAAGAGCTACAAAGCACGCTGTTTTTCCGCTAACTTTCAGTGCCTATGTTAAGAAACTGGGCTGTTCACACTGTATGCACCAAGTTCCCCTGCTGGCTCGCTATCCGAGTGATAGTTTTAACGTCTGGTCTGTTTTCTCTTTGAGACATTAGCAGATCTGACAAGAAAACACACTGGTAATCCGAGTGATACAAGGGATATGTTAAATATATGACAAATGATCGGATTCTTATAAATGATAAAATATGCATTCGATGCTTACTTATTCCACATATGGACAGAGAGCAAGAGAGATGAGCAGACACACACACAAGCAGACAGAAAAAGAGCCCAACATGTGATTAGAAAGAGCAGAGGAGCAGAATCGCGCACTCACTGGCATGGAGAAATGCGCTTCTGGTGTGTGTGACCAGACAATCACTTGAGCAGCAGTTGATATATTGGGGCACTTCTGTGTTTGGTGAAAACATGGCATAACCTCTCCATTTAAGTGTGCAGTTGTCCATTTTAAGTTTATTCTGGATTTCTGACAGCAAGTAATAAAGTAACTTGTTATCCGGATTTGATTAATATTGTGGCGCATGGTCAAGCCATTATTACTGTTTATGGGGGACTGAACACTTTTCTGATGTTTAACCTTTTCATTACCTTAATAATAACATTCTTATGCCCGGGCCACACTTCCTGCTTGAGCAGGGTGTGTGCATCCCAGTACCTCTACTTTTGTTTTTGTTTTGTTTTTTGGTATGGCCTGAAATAACTGTAGACATTCACTGTACTCACTCAACAAAAGTAACTTCTTTACTAACAAGTTAGCACAAGTACAATTCAGTTATTCGATGATAACACTTTGGTTGCTAATCACACATTTGTTTAATGCAGAGATGTACAGCCAGAACAGACCTTCTTTGACCGGGATGTGGAGAAGGCCTTCATGAAGGCCAGTGCAGATCTGTTTGAGAAGAAGACCAAGCCCTCCCTGCTGATCTCCAACCAGAATGGAAACATGTACACCCCCTCTGTCTATGGCTGCCTGGCATCACTCATTTCACAGTACGTCTCAGTAGTTGGGATTCCATCCAGATGTAGTGCGAATGTTCTGTGTGTGTGTGTGTGTGTGTGTGTGTGTGTTCTCCAGAAGCGTGTATTTCAATATTATTGGTGAGATCTTCACACAACAGTAATTTATTACTGGAGTTTGTTGTAGATTAACAGAAGTCACTGCAAGCTAACCACTTTTGATCTGCAAAATTACTACTCTAAATCTTGGCATGGCTGATTAAAATAGTTGAAAAATCTTGGTGTTGTAGTATATAAGGAAAGTATTTGCTGCCTGTGTTGTAGACACACACCTTCACAGATAGCAGGAGAGAGGATTGGCGTTTTCTCCTATGGTTCAGGATTTGCTGCTACTCTGTATTCTCTCAGAGTTACTCAAGACCACACACCCGGTAAGTCAACAATGGTTCAATTCAGTTGTGTGATGTGGATGAAATTAGAATGTATACTCATAAAATTTTAGAGACGAATAATAGTGTGTTTTTCCATGTGATTTGTTGACTGTTTGTTTCAGGATCTGGTCTGGACAAACTTGTTTCCAGCCTAAGTGACCTGAAGGTCAGACTGGACTCAAGGAAGAAGGTGTCACCTGCTGTCTTCTCTGAGAACATGAAGCTGAGAGAGGAGACACATCACTTAGGTATGACTCTGCTGTCACTGCTGCTCATGTCTGATTCTGCCAGTCTAATTGGTTATTTACACTGACAATTGCAAGTCTGTCAGAAATTAGAAGGGGATTAAGCTGTCTGGGTGCTATTTTTTTTTAAACACATTAAAGTTTTTTGGGGTGCATAGTCGAGTAAGGGATAATGCCTGATGAGGTGTCCATTATCAGGCTGATGTGGAGGCATAAACCATCTGATGCACAGTTTCCAAAGAAAAAAAAATAGAACATTCATTTATACTTCAATATTTTTGCAATTCAATTTTATTTATAAAGCCCAATATCATAAATCACAATTAGCCTCAGAGGGCTTTACAGCATACGACATCCCTCTGTCCTTTAGACCCTTGTAGGGGGAAAAATTGTAGAAACCTCCGGAAGAGCAACTGAGGAGGGATCCCTCTTCCAGGACAGACAGGCGTGCAATAGATGTCGTACATAACAGATCAACACAATAAAGTTGCTGTAATCCATATGACAAAGTGATACATAGGGAGAGGGAGGGACAGAGAGAGAAATTGACAGAGAGACTGAGATGCAGGGCAGACAGTAATGACAATAGCTACAATAACATTAATTTTAGTAATAATATTACAATAATGATAAAAGTAATTGTGGTAGCATATGTTGTAAGTAGGGCTGGGCGGTATGACCTAAAATTTATATCACGGTATAAATCGAATCCCTTCACGGTAACGGTATATATCGCGGTATAAATTTAAGTGTAAAAGTTATAATAGAAGTGTTTCTGAATGGGTTTTGTAGTCCCTTAGCAAAGCTAAATTGATAAAAAAACAACAACAACAAAAGCAAAGATATAATGTATTTTTTAGAGCATTTATTGTGCAGAATGTAGAAAAACTCAAAACTCAAAAATAAAACCCAGTACTCTATGGTGCAAAATGTCCCCTGGGATCTATATCAAAAGGTAATTTCCTTCTTTTAGCAAAATCCTAAATGACTGAGTTGTGTTTTTTCCACCTGGACCTTTATGCTCTGCCATTTCTCCTCTAATCATCACGCTGTAACCTGTGACAGGCTGCTATGATACCACAACTATCACACATTCACATATGGAGTTTTTTGTGGAGCCCCTAGCGTCACATAGGTTTACATTACCAAAGGTTTATGACAAACTCTCTTGCCGAAAACCAACTCCGGTGTGCGCACGGCGAGAGAGGAGAGGGAGAGACGCTGTGCTGCTGCCAGAGGAGACACTGAATGAGTTCCCTCTGAGCGGTAAGTCGCTAAAAGAGTCTGAGAAGTCCGGGGCTGTTCATAAAACATTAACTCACTCACTCACAAGTTCTCCAGCAACACATGTTGCACGTGCTACGCTAAATCACGGACATGAACCAGCTCCTCTTGCTCCGCTGTCTCTGTGCTCGCAGCCATTTTCACACTGAGGCAGGTGCGATGATGTCATCGACGGAATAGGACCAACCAAGCTTTCTCTCCTTTTCCAAATCTCTTTAATGTTACCACAGAAAAAAGGAAGAAGCAAACCTGGCTGACGTTTACCTGACTTGATGTCTACTTGATGTAGCTATGCATTAGCTAGCTGGTTAGCTAGATCTTTAACATTAGCTTACTTTATTTACTTGACATTATACAATGTAACCTGTCCATTAAGATTGTGACAGTACTCCAGTAACATGTCTTAACCATCCTCAAAATTTGTTTGTCTTTCCAACCATTTTTAACCAGCTCATGTAGAATATTTCACGCATCTCATACAGTTTTCACAGAACAGACCATCCCATCTTTTATATCTGTATTCCATCTGACTTTCAATATGAAAAGCAGTGAATAATTTACTTGGTTTTTAAAATTATATCAAAGTCAACTCAACATTTCATCCCAAGATATTTAATGTTCAAACTCATAAACTTTATTGCTTTTTGTAAAATATACTCTTATTCTGAATTTGAAGCCTGCAATGCGTCACCAAAAAGTAACAACAAAAGACTGGAAAAGTTGTGGAATACTCACAAAAAACAGTTGGGAACTAGGCTTGTGCCGATTTCCAGTTTAACCGGTTCGGTCTGGTTTAAGAGTTCCACCCGGTTTAATTCGCGTGTACCGGATAAACCGGGGGAAAAAAAAAAGCTTTTCACATCAGCGGTGTGTCAAGGGACTATATTCAACTTATCTTGCATTGTAACATGCATTATGACAACTTAATGAGATTTATGTTTGTTTATAAATGAAGTGGAGGAGCCTACAAGTGTTTTGTTTAGTCTTTAGTCAGCTAGAAAATTTTCAAACTGGCACAAGCCTATTAGGAACATTCCACAGGTATACAGGTTAACTGGTTACAGATTAAATAGGATATAGGATCTTCTGTATCTCTCTGTCCTGCATCGAAGAGAGAGGAGCCGTCCACCACAGTTTTTTTGGTCCATCAAGGTGTTGTGGAGTGGATGATCTGGGTTGTTCACGATGGCCTCGAACATCTTCAGTGTGCATCTCTCCACCACCTCCTCCAGTGTGTCCAACCTGACTCCAATCACAGAGCCAGCTCTTTTGACTAGTTTGTCCAGCCGCCTTGCATCTTTGTGTCTGATGCTTCCTCCCCAGCAGACTGCAGCATAAAACAACACACTTGCCACCACAGACTGATAAAACATCTGCAGCATCTTACTACAGATGTCGAGAGATCTGAGCTTCCTCAAGAAAAAGAGGCGGCTCTGCCCCTTTTTGTAGAGAGCATCTGTGTTTAGGGACCAGTCCAACTTATTATCCAGGTGTACACCTAGATACTTATAGCTTGGCACCACCTCAATGTCCACCCCACAGGTATTCACTGGCTGAAGAGGGGGCTTGGACCTGCGGAAATCTATGATCATTTCATTTTGTCTTTGAGGTGTTCAGGAGGAGACAGTTCTTGTGACTCCACTCACTGAAGGCTTTTTTCAGGTCCCTATATTCAGACCCCTGCCCATTCCTGATACACGCCACAATAGCAGTGTCGTCCGAGTGTTTCTGGATGTGGCAGGACTCAGAGTTGTATTTGAAGTCCACCATGTACAGTGTGAACAGGAATGGAGCCAGGACAGTCCCTTGTGGAGCCCCCATGCTGCTCATTAATGTCCCAGAAACACAGTTCCCCAACCTGACATACTGTGGCCTTCCTGTCAGGTAATCTGTGATCCAGGAGATAAAGGAAGGATCCACTGCCATCTCTGTGAGCTTGTCTTTGAGTATGTTGGGTTGGATGGTGTTGAATGTGCTTGAAAAATCAAAGAACATGATTCTCACATAAGCGCCAGGTTCCTCCAGATGAGCTAGGGCACGGTGAAGCATGTAGAGGACAGCATCGTTCACTCCAATGTGTTGTTTGTATGCAAACTGCAGGGGGTCGATTTTGTCTTTGACCTCAAGTCTCAGTAGGCGTAGAATCAGCCGCTCCAAGGTCTTCATGATGTGCGAAGTACTGAATCTATTGAAGAACTGATTGAGTTCATCAGCTCTTTCTGCATCACCCACCACTGGCTGTCTTTTCTTGTTGTTGTAACCAGACATGGTGTTGACTCCTCTCCACATTTCACGGATTTTGCTCTGTTGTAGATTCCTCTCCGGTTTCTTTTTGTATTCCACCTTTGCCATCTTAAGTCTCTTCTTCAACTCATGTTGCACTTGTTTGAGCTGTGCTTTGTCACCATCTCTAAAAGCTGCCTTCCTCTCATTGAGGATTGCCTTTATATCACTGGTAATCCAAGGTTTGTTATTGTGGAAACAGCGTACAGTCTTTGTAGGTATGACTGTGTCTCTACAGAAGTTGATGTAATCAGTAAAACAGTCAAACTGTCTATCAAAGTCCATGATGTTCTCCTCTGTTTCCAGCAGCACATCCCAGTCTGTGCATTCAAAGCAGTCTCTTAGAGCCTCAGTAGCCTCTGGTGTCCATTTCCTGACTGAGTATAGTTGCAGGCTGCCTCCACACTCGGGGTTTGTAACATGTCTGCAGAAGAACCAAGTTGTGATCTGACCTGCCCAGTGGTGGTAAGGCAGTGGCTCTGCAAGCTTCTTTGACATTGGTATACAGCAGATCAAGGGTTTTATTTTCTCTGGTTGGACAGTTAACAGACTGTGTAAATCCAGTCAGGTGAGAGGAGAGGGAAACATGGTTGAACTCTCCTGATATTATCAATAGTGCCTCAGGATGTTTAGTCTGTATCTTAGCAACAAGTTCATGGAGAACTTCACATGGAACTTCAGCAGTTGCCTTGTGTGGGATGTACACAAGTATTGTTATGATATGACTGAATTCTCTTGGTACATAATATGGCCTCATACCAACTGCCAAAAGTTCAATATCTGGACAACACATCTTCTCCTTGACAATAATATGTGCAGGACTGCACCATCTCTGGTTCACAAATAAAGCCAGGCCCCCACCTTTTTTCTTGCCACTAGCTTTAGAGTCTCTGTCCGATCGTATGAGAGTGAAGCCAGGTAGATCCACGTTGGAGTCTGAGATGTTTTGATTCAACCATGTTTCCGTAAAACACATGAGACTGCACTCACTGTATACTTTGAGTCTTCACCAATATCTCCAGTTCATCACTCTTGTTGGGCAGAGAGTTGACATTTCCCATGATGACTAATGGCAGAAAGGGCTTATATCTCCCTTTCCAAGCCTTCACCTTTGCACCAGCATGACAACCACGAAAACACCTCTTCATCTCAGCTGGAATAGGATGGTGTCCTCCAGACTTGCTCCGTTTCAACGAAAAAAGCTCCTCTCTTGAATAAACTCTTCTCTTCACAGAATTATCCATTAACATTGAATGCCCATGACTTTTGACTCCTTAGGCATTAAAACTGACTGGATTATATGAAGCATATTACTGCATGGGCCTGGGAACACTTTGGAAAACCATTGTTGGTAAACACAGTTTGTTGCTGAATCTGCGAATTCAAGTTAAGACTCTACCATGCAAAGTGAAAGCCATATATCAACAACATCCAGAAACACAGCTAACTTCTCTGGGCCCAAGCTCATCTGAGATGGACTGACACAAAGTGGAAAAGTGTGCTGTGATCTTGACAAGTCCACATTTCATGGTGGCTGGTCCAAATTGTTTTAGGAAATGATAGACATCGTGTCGTCTGAGCTAAAGAGGAAACGGACCATCCACATTGTTATCAGCACAAATTCAAAGGCAGCATCTGTGATGGTATGGCGATGTGTTTGTGTCAATAGAATGGCTACCTTGTACATCTGTGAAGACTCCATTAATGCTGAAAGGCACATACTAGTCTTAGAGCAGCGTGCTGCCATCTCAACATCTTTTCCAGGGATGTCCCTGTTTATTCTAGCAGCACAATGCCAAGCCACATTCTGTATGTTCCAACAATGTGGCTTCGTTGTAAAAGGGACCTAGAGGTCCTAGACTGACCTTCCTACAGTCCAGACCTCTCTCCCATTCAGGGCCGGCCCAAGCCTCCATGGGGCCCTAAGCAAAATTTGATTTTGGGGCCCTCTATTACTGCCAATAATAATGATTATTGATCATTCACACACCTGCTGTAAGTTATTTCATGTTCTACTCTGTCATCACTTGTAAAACTAGATGTGAAAACTTTTTGTTGTAGTTAGATTGTAATCCACAGTGATTAAGGCCATGGAAGCAGACAGCAGATTTGCAAACTTGCTGAAAAATCTTTCAATTAATATTTGGCAAAGTCAGCAACTCCCCCTACTGGCCACACAGAGAATCAATACATAAAACGAAATGGTAGCAAATTCAGCTACAAGAGCAGCCTGGGGTTGATTTACACTTAATATTCAAAGTGATATAGTACTAAGTGGGATACCAAATGTCATCTAGGCCAACTAAAAGTAACAAAATAAACCAGTCATTTATTGTAAACACAATCTGCTTTATTATTTTTTGTTTTAAATAAACTGCAACACAGAGGGGACAGTGGGCACAGTGGATGGATCAAAGGATGGAGATGGACCTAAGATGAAAAACAACAACAAAAGCTAGTCATGTTAGATGTCATATTACACTTGAAAATTATGCTGCTTATTTTCTAAGTAAAATAGTACAGCTATAGCTTGTAATAAGAAAACAATCTGCCAGTGGAACAACTGAAAATTGCTTGAAGTTTTGAAATAATATCCATTTGTCTAAAAACATGTCCCTTTTCATATGATTATGTCTAATATTAAAAATGATTAATCTCAGAATGTTCTGCAGTACACTGAGCAATTACAAAGGCTGTTTTGTTGTTAACTTACCAGGTAGAGCTGAGGTTGTAGCACACACAGAGGGGACAGTGGGCACAGTGGATGGAGCAGAGGATGGAGATGGACCTAAGATGAAAAACATGTCCCTTGTCATATGATTATATCTTATATTAGTATATCTTAATAAGATAATTTGACTAGAAATTAAATATATATGGTGACAGTTTTTCCCTCACCTGATTCATTAGCCTTGGCTGAGCCTGAGGAGGTGGAATGCCCTCCTCGACAGAGAGCTCAACGCTACTCCAACGCAGCCCTGGGGAGTTTACAGTCTGGATTAAGCTATAGATTCAGTATTTAGAATTGGACTGTTTTGGTTCTGGCCAAAACAGTCCAATTCTAAATACTGAATCTATAGCTGACTAACAATTACAAACACCATCAAAGCACACTGTCAAAAAGTACAAATGCATTTATCAGTCTTTGCACTGGCCCAAACTCTGGTGAGATGATGTCGGCACTCAGAATTAATCTCACACAGGATTTGATTTGATACGTAGAATCCTGCATCTCTCACTGCTTGCATTATTGTATTCATTTTTTTTTTTCAATTCATCCACACAGCCAGCTACGTCCCCCGAAGCTCAGTGGAGGATCTTTTCCCAGGTACATGGTACCTCACACGAGTGGATGACAAACACCGCAGGGAATACGCTCGAAGACCTCTGGATGATGACCTGGCAGCAGAGCCAGAACTTGTTCGCTCCAGCACTGCTAATGAGGTACAAGATCAATAAATGTTAGGACAGAGTTTCCTACGTTCAACACTGTATTAAAAGTAGATCACAAAATTTTATACACAGCCTTTATATCTGCAAATGTAGTGTATGACCAGTGCATAGTAAAAACAGTTGATGTACATGTGGGAGTCTAGTCTGAGAAATGTGTCTAATCTAACCTTGTGTGTCGATTTAAGCAAAGGATAATTCTGTTTTAAGAAGATAATAAGGATAAAATGTTTTTATTCAATACATTTTCAACTAAAAGTCAGATCATTGAGGAGGAGTGGAATTACTGTGATAGCTTAAACGGAAAATCCAGTATTCTGTACATTTCCTCAGCGCTATTTCCATCAGTACAACAGTGTTACATTGTACTGATCATTTCTTGTGAACACAAATATTCTTTTTCACAGATTATTTCAAGTTTCTCCTGTTTTGATATTTTGTTTTTTTGTTTTGTGTTTTTTTTTCTCCAAAAAGAAAAACATATCATTACACTGTAACAACAATGGAGAGTTTAAAAAAAAAAAAACAAGATAAAAACTGATGCAGCAGACCCAAAGATTATCTTTTTGATACGTCTGCACCAGTGATAGCTGTAGCTGGAGGCATTATATTTTTGGGTTGTCCGTCTGTACAGAAGTCTGTCCCATTTTTGTGAATGCATATCTCAAAGAATGCCTTGAAGGAATTTCTTTAAATCTGGCACAAACATTCTCTTGGACTCCAGGATGAACCGATTAGATTTTGGCAGTCAAAGATTAAAGTCACTATGACCTTGCGTCTTTCTCATTCTTGAATACAATATCTCAAGAAAAGGGGAATTTCTTCAGATTTTGCACCAACGTTTACTTGGAATGAGCAATGAACTAATTTGATTTTGGTGGTCAAAGGTCAAAGTCATTGTGACTTCACGAACCATGTTTTGGCCACAATTTAAGAATTATTAGGTTCATCATGACAAAACATCACACAAATGTCTAATGGGATATAATAATGAATGGATGACATTTTATATACCAAAGATCAACCTTACTGTGTCATCATAATATTCTGCATAAAACATAAAGCATAAAAGAATGACTGCTAATTACTGCAAATGAAAGCATTCTTTCCATTAGAGCAAAGCAGCGTGGTGAATATGACATAAATGATGTCCTACTGATTTGAATAGTGCTGAGGAAATGTAGTAACACTGAATTTATCAGTTCAGTATAATTTCCGTTTATAACATGTATTGGAAAATTTGAAGAAATACTCATCTCTCATTGGCTGATCGGTCTGACAATAAGATAGCAGTGCTAAGCTTACACAGTTAGTGTAAGTGTAAGTTAGTGAATGATATCCATCATTCATGGATATACTAAGATTTTTTTTTTTTACTGGTTTAAAAAGGGATGCAGTGGCTCAAACATCCTCTCACGCTCATGAAGATGATACACGCAGAGCATAAGTAATACAAGTTACAGCTAACAAACTTTGCATTGCACTGTAACCAGCTAAATTGTTTACAATGATAGTGTGACACAAACTAGCTTAGTCTCGTGTTAGATAGCCAGAAAGTTTGTTATTGTTGTTATATAATATTCTGAAAAAATTCGGGATAGTCCCGATATCCAAGCAGTTGTCCAGAATCCTGCCCTAATTGTCCTGAAAATTACACTAGAGCAGAGTGTGGAGTAGTTTTTGCCTGATAAAACATTAAAAACTGATCATGGTGGTTGAGTCCTGCAGCTCCCGCCGGCTGCACATTGGCTGCAACAGTTACATGAATTATGGGCGTTGTAGTTTTTAAATTGTGTACAGCAGTGGCACGACTTGATAATCAAATAATTTTCATTCATTCGTTGGTGACAACATGGAGTCTGGTGACACAGGACCTGATGAAAAGGCAGCTAAAAAGCGCAAACGTCTCTGCAGGTACTGGGAGGAGTGGGGAGGGAAATACCCCAGGCTTACTGCAGCCTTACGAGATACAAACAAAGCGTTTTGCAAAGTTTGTCAAAAAGAATTTGGCATTTTGCACGGAGGGGAGTTGAACATCAGGCTACATGCTAGCAGCAAACAACATATCAGTAACAGCACAACTGTACAGACCAACACGTTGGTCTTATCCGTCTTTAAGCGGGAGGATGACTCCATGTACAATAAAATAGCTGCTGCTGAACTGACCTCCGTGTTCCACTGTGTGACCAACCAGCAGTCATACAGAACGCTTGACTGTGCTATGAAGTTAACACCAAAACTGTACACTGATTCCATTATAGCTAAACACATCAGCTGTGGTCGCACAAAATCAGAAGCACTTGTCACAAATATACTGGCACCCCTCGCATCTGACTTCACCCAGAGCCTTGAGTCAGAAGACATGTACTTTTCTATTGCAACTGATGCCTCTAATAAAGGCAATGTGAAAACATTCCCCCTCTCTGTAAGATTCTGGACGCCCGAGCAAGGTATCCAAAACAGGGTTCTGGATTTCTTTGAACAGGCAGCTTAGGACTCAGATGCTGTCACACACACCTTACTGCAGAAGTTAAAGGAACACAAACTCAGCATCCGTAACATCTCGGCCTTCTCGGCTGATATTGTGGCTGTGAATTACGGCAGAAAACACTCCGTTTACCAAAATCTGAAACAACACAACAGCAAGATCCTGCCTGCAAACTGCCCAGCTCACATAATCCACAATGCAGTAAAACCTGCCAGCAATGCACTGAAAACAGATGTGGAGACTATAGTGATTAAAACATGCAATCATTTCAGCTGTTCTGCCAAGAGAGTGGCCACCCTCAAAGAAATGTTTGAATTTGTTGACATGAAGTACCTTACCTTGTTACACCATGTCCCAACACGTTGGTTGAGCCTGCTCCCTGCAATGAACAGACTTGTCAACACCTGGCCAGCTGTGTGCAGCTACTTCTTGTCGCTGGGACGAGAGGAGAGCCCCTGTGTCATCTGGGATGCGCTGCAGCGAGCTGGGGGCCACTCTCCTCTTCTTGCAAAACACTCTGAAGATTTTTTCTGATACTGTGCTAAGCCTTGAGAGTGACCGTTTCACCTAGGTTGAAGTGTATGCACTGATGAAAGGCCTCTGAACCAAACTCCAGCAGCGCAAAAAGATGTTTTCTTTGGAGCAAAAGTTGACCATGTCTTCGCCTCCTCAGTTGCTTATAGTGTTGACAGGCTCCAGAGAGACTTTATCAGATTCTATGATATCACGGAGCAATACCTTGAGAAATGGTTTGACTTCTCTGAAACTGGGCACCTATTCAACATCCAGTGTTTCAACCTCAAGGAAAAACAAAAAATCAGCTACTGGCAAGTGACCGCAGCTGTATCCGCCCTTCAGATGGAAGAGGATCTCGACATGGTTGAGCTCTACAATGAGAGCTGTGTCCTGAAAGAGGTCTTGCCTCACCTGGAAACACAGTGTCACCCTGTAGGTGAGCTTTGGACCCAAGTGCTAAAGAGCAGGTCTGTCTTTGGTCCTGAGCATCCCTGTGAGCAACGCTTACTCGGAGCGGGTGAAATCATCATGAAAGGTGCCTTGACTGATGTGAGAAACCGATGCTCATTTAACCTGGTCCACTGCAAAATCAAAGTGAAGATGAATTTACAGATGAGCTGTGCAGACTTCCACAAATTAATCCTAGGAAAGACAAGAGTGCTGGCAGCAGTGAAATCCTCCGCCAAATATGCCAGTGACAGGCCTCTACAATCCAGTCTTCCTAGGAGGTAGCTGAAGTGAATTTACAGTTTTGTTGCTGTTATCCTACACACAAACTACTAAATACACCCCTTTTGTCCCATTTTTTGTTTTATAGAGTAGATGAAGAGAGCGCAAGTTGCAGCCGTGAGGACAGGGAAAGTGCAGGCAGCCAGGAGAAGGAGTGATTTGCACGTTGCAGTGCAGCCTCTTGTTTTTACTGTTCAAAACTGTTCTACCAACTTGTTCTACAAATCGATACACCATGAAATTGGAAAAGAGGAAAAAGATTGAAGGAAAAGATTGAACCAATTGTTAAAATTAAATCAGGGAACTGATCACAGATGTATTGTGTCTGTGTGTTTTTACATCTGTTGTTGCTTTAATTTGCAGCTATGCCTTTAATGAAGCTGACATGTCATGACACACAAGCCCCCCCACTGTCCACGTAGCCTTGGCAATAAACTGACAAGAATTTGATGATTAAATGTCAAGGTCATTGTGACCTTGCGTCTGTCATTCTTGTGAATCCAATAATGCAAGAAGGCCTTGAAATTTGGCGCAAACGTCCACTTGGACTCAAATGAACTGATTAGAATTTAGTGGTCAAAGGTCAAGGTAATCTCATATTACATGTTTTTGGCCATAATTCAAGAATTTGTATGCTAATTATGACAAAATGTCACATAAATGTCTTAACAGGATAAAATGATAAAGTGCTAACATTTTCTATCCAAACAGTCAAAGCTCAGCTTTACTTTGATGACATAATGTTCTGCAAAAACACTTTCTTGGCCACTACTGAACATCACATCTCAGTAACAGAAGGGGAGACATTTGGTGAGATACTGAATTGGTGACACTTATCTTAGGTGTCCACCTTGAAACTGTGCTAATTGTTTAGATCTTCTGTGCTGTTAGGGAGAAGATGTGTATGAAGCACCCATGTTTTGAAAGACATGGATATAAACTGTAAGTGTACTGCTGCGCTCAAGCATATAACCATGTGGCAGTAATTTCAGTGTTATACAAAGTGGAAAATTACAGTAACTTGTAATGTCTTGTAATTTACAAGAGGAGACAATTTTCGGGAAGACAGCACTTGACAAAGTTTATAAAGTTACCCTTAACTCTGCAACTCACAAAATGCAGTGATTTTATTTAAATGAGTCTGGTATTTTCTCCCCAGGTGACAAATTAGTGTATTGTGTTACTGTACTCTTTAGCCTGTGTCCAAAACACATTGCACCATGTGTCCATGAAGAAATATGAGTAGGTCGTGCTTATAACTGCTGCATGGAATGCTACATAATGTCAACCAGGGAAGGATTGCTGATTAAATGTACAACAGTTAGGTCTGACAGCAAAGCTTAATGTCTGATGATGTCATTTTGCATAATAATTAGCCGTGTGCTTCTGTTTGTTTGAGACGTGATTAAAGATTGAGCGTGAACAATGGATAAATGAAGAAAGATATATTTGCCTTTGTGTAGATACATTTCACTTAAATTATTTGAAATGTTTTTTTTAAATTATAGTTAACCTTATTTGTTAACTTGTTACACACAAGAATAATGTGTGGACAAAGGTGATTTATTCTTTTATTTGTAAATAAATGGCAATATTATTTGCCTAACGGAAATCTAACCCTGTCCTCTGTATCAGCTGTCTGACTGTGGCTGGGCAAGGTTAGTTGAGAGTGATTCAAAGTTAGCAGGAAATCAATCAATCAATCAATCAATTTTATTTATAAAGCCCAATATCACAAATCACAATTTGCCTCACAGGGCTTTACAGCATACGACATCCCTCTGTCCTTAAGACCCTCACAGCGGATAAGGAAAAACTCCCCCAAAAAAAACCCTTTAACGGGGAAAAAAAACGGTAGAAACCTCAGGAAGAGCAACTGAGGAGGGATCCCTCTTCCAGGACGGACAGACGTGCAATAGATGTCGTACAGAACAGATCAGCATAATAAATTAACAGTAATCCATATGACACAATGAGACAGAGAGAGAGAGAGAGAGAGAGAGAGAGAGAGATGCAGGTAATGACAGTAGCTTACAACAACATTAATGAAAGTAATAATATTATAGTTATAGTTCTGGCTACTGTGGTACAATATGTTGAAAGTATGTATTAATATCTGGCAGTATACTTGTGTGACAATAGTCATATGTGTATAATAACAGTAGAAGTATGACTAATGACTAATGATGGCAGCAGCAGCAGGAGGCATCTGGCAGGACCACGGCAGCAGCACAACCACACACGTCACGCTGTCCAGGCACCGCTGCGAAAAGGAAAGCCACATCTAGATGGCTGATAGACAAAGGATGACAGAAGCAGATTTCCACTTGGTCAATAATATTGCAACAATAATTAGGGAGTGTATCTTGAATGTAACAAAGGTGCCAGACTTAATACAATTCTGTGGTTGTGGGGGTGGTCAGATCTGTAAAATGTTCCTGCTTTTTTTTAATCCTTTGCCAATCACATCCCTGATAACAGAGCAGTGGATCAGAAATGTTATTTACCCTAAACCATTAAGTGCTTTATAAACCAGCAGTTAATGTTATGATGTTAATGGTCTGTTTTCCTCCTTCAGCACATCCCCAGTCCAGCCAAGAAAATGCCTCGCATCCCTGCAGCCACTGCTGGCCCTGAGGCTGCCATCAGCAACTGAGAGCACTCTGCTTACCTCTGAGAGGTATCAAGGTCCAACAGTTTAGAAACTGTAATAACTAGACAACACTACAAGACAGAAGGCTAGAAAGAGACAACGGCGTCACCTCCAAAATCATTACTCATTGAATTAACTAGGTTGGAGCAGCATGTCATGAAAGTGTACAGTGTTCTGTGAAGGCCAGTGGACAGCTGTAGCCACTCCTCAGCTACATGTAGCCTTCCCATTATCTACATGTAATACTGTCAGACAGTAAACTATATTTGTCTAGTCTAGGGTCTATTTTGAACACAATAATGATTTGTTTTAGCAGTCCTTTTATTTCAATATTAATGTTTGTACATATTATCCTCTTGCATTCGTGCAAAATGGACAGTTATATTTGGGAGAAGTACAGGCAGATGTTTGCATAGGGTGTTGCTGATACTGAGTTAAACAAGCAGACTTCCTCCTGGCAGCTGGCAGCCAGTGACAGGAAGAGGAAATGGATATTAATTAATTAATGTGGCTACAGGCCTCTTGCTGATTAAAAGATTGAAGAGAAGTGGGCCTCATCAGTAATGTGTTAAAGTAGTGTTACTGCTGCCACAACACCCCAGTATGAGATGGAGTTCATACCCCTGCTCTGCTGTTTGTGTTCAGTACTACAGTTTTCATTGAAAGCATGTGGTCAGCTTTCTACAGGACTCTGCAGGTTTATTATGTGACCAAACATCAGGAACAGCGGGACTCAAGACTCAAAGTAATGCTCCACCCAGAGGGCTTCAGAGTCCTCTCTCAGCATGCACATAGTGGGTGGAGTCTCATTTTAAACTGTTGTTGACTGCTGTAGCTGAGATATGCATCTGCACAGAACATGTAAACTGTCTTACACTTGGTAAAAAAAAAATCCTTAAGCAGAGAGATACACTGTTGGAAAGATACATGTTCAACTAAGGCTGTTCTGGATAACACCAGTGGAATATGGAGTAATCCATAATGATGGATTATTCCATTTGCTTTTATTACCATTAAATGTCTAAACCCAGTAAATGATGTTTACTCCCCCTTCCAAAGAATTGTTCTGATTTTCAGTCTATTAAGAAACCACATGAGATGTACTGCAGCATACAGTATAATAGGTCATATGTTTTAAAAAATACTTGTTAACACTTATTTTTTTCTGTTGATAAAACATAGTTGGTTAATTGATAAGTTGATTATCAGTAAATGTTTAATAAATTAGTCATTCAACTAATTTATCGAGCAAAAAGGAAAAACATTCTTGGTTTCAGTGTCTCAATTGTTGTTGGTTTTTAAAATGTTTTTTACAGAGTTGATGAGTAGTTAGATTGGATATGATTGTCAGTTGCAGCCTATCTTTTTCTACATCTACTGCAAAACCAGAGGTAGTGTCTGTCTCACTGCTCGCACATGTATAGTAACACATAGTGTAACTGTTCACTATAATGGAGAAAGATAGAGTACCCAGTAAGGTAGTTTAAAATTGTGGTCATCACAACATAAGGAATTGCAGTGGTCATCCTTCAGTGTCTATGAGCTCTTCTCATTGTAATGTTGCTCAGTAGTAGAACTCACAGAAGAGTGCTGTCAGCATAAGTGGATTTGGACATTTCTTTCACCAGTGACACCTAAAAGAAAAAATCATTAAACTAGTGTCATTCTTAAAAGTACAATCAGCAAGATACTGTATAGCTTTTTAGTGCAAACCTCTCAGATTTGACTAAAATATATATGTTGGGACAAGTTTGAAACTCAAACTCAAACAGGCTCAAATTCACCGGAGACAGAGTCCTGCACGGGTCAATTTTTCCAAAAAAAAGTTAAATATTTTAGCATGCTCCTTCCACCACCTAAAAAGGGTCTTCCTTGGGTGTCTTGAACTTGATGTAAGCTGCCACCCCATCTTCGGGCTGCAAAGTTTCATGGCTGGAGTCCTCCATGTCCATGTCAGTGACGATTGTGGCGAGGGGGTCAAAGGTTTGATTTGTGCCACTGACTTTCAAAATACAAGGAGTTGATATTTGCACATTACACAGCTTTTTGCGGGCTACACGTTGTGTACCCCAACCCCCATCCCCGGGTCAGGACTCTGATTGGAGGAGCCGCACTTCTGCCTAGAACAAATGCAGTCTGACACAACACCACTGCAATAAATCTGACCTCCATCAAGGTCCAGTCTGGTGATGTGTGCTTGCTGTTGATTTGAATAGTCATGCTGAAGGTGTTTAATATTTTGTTCACCCCATTTATATGAATGAGGGTTAACCACAAATATAACACCTCTTTGTGTAATATAGATTAACCATGATGTTGAATCACCACCTCCAAAACAACTGTTTGAACACAATCTTAAAACCTAAACTGGAAACAAAGTATAATAGAACCTGTGTCCTATTAAAAGATTTGTCTGTGTATTTCATTCCTTCATAATGCTGTGCAAGGCATCTTAGGTTCCTGATTTGTCCTAGAGATATAATGCAACTTTGCTCCAGTTTTACAAACGCTGAACAGAGTGCAAAGGAGATGGTTGATAGCCGAGGGACCAAGGAGTCTGGAGCATCCCTACCAAATACACAGAGCTGTCCTGGCTCTGCCTTATTAAAAGTTTGCAAGCAGCAGCAGTGCAATGATATATTTTTGTGTAAAGGTTTAGTAAAAAAAAAACAACAGATCGCACCATCAAGGTGTATATGTTTTGTGTTATGTTGTGAAACTACATTGTTGGGCAGTGATTGCGACAGTTTGACTGGTTTCTTTTCATTACACCGAACTGTTACAGATTTATTGAATGTGAATATGGACTGCATTGTTCCACTTGTCTATCCTTGTCAGTTTTATTCAAATGGCTGAAGTGTTGCATATTAATTCATACTAAAGCCTTAATGTCAAAGGACTTTAATCGATGAAGTTTAAGGTCAGGAGATTGAATTGCAGCATATGGAACCAAACAACTTCATATCTTATGTCAGCAAATTCTTGTTTTGTTCTCTCTGTGTTTTGTCTCAGATTATTTTTCCTGTATATCATCGACATTGATTTGACAATAGTTTCTGTCAACAAAGAACCAAATGTTAAAAGAGATGAGTCTCGGGCGGAATACATCAGCCTTAAATTAACAGCATTGGTCTGTGTCTGTTCCTATTGACCGCTGGACTGGCTCCAAGACTTGCACACAGAGGAGTATGGACAGTTGATAACAGGGTGACAAGGTTCTTGAGAAGCCTTACAATAAGCATGTATGAACTATAAACAAAGATTTCCTCTAATAATGTACAGATATTCTTTTTAATGCAACATCAGAGTTTGTGCCTCTTCTGGCCCTGCTCACAGCAGCATCAAAAACATGCAGCATCAGTGACCGTTTCTGGTATGGTTGTAACATTATCTGTTTGGTGCCTGCTTATAGGGCCTGTTTCAGAGGTCACATCATCTTTACCAGTGTTGATGGTAACAAACAGATTATTTATGCTGTGTAGATATGAATTATGATTAATTTCATCCAGTTTGTGTGGATTCAAATGTGAAGACTCAGAATAAACGGACACTCAACATGTAAGGTATGTGTATGGTTATTTTTTCCACCAATAATCATAATAAAAATCATGAATTGATTCATAAATTTAGATATTATCAGTGTATTCACCACTGTTATGTCTGTTTATTACTTTAAAGTAGTTGATATGCATTCCTCTGCTATGTTTCCAAAAGCTTTCAATATACAGTACTGTGCAAAAGTCTTAGTTTTAATGACCATCCATATGTTTTTTTCAGCCTCTTATTAAGACACAAACAGATCATTTTGGATNACAAAATAAAAAACACAATTTCCAAAACAAAATGGCCTTTCCAGGCAAATGTCAGTATTTAGTGTGACCACCCTTGGCACTAAGCACATCTTGAATTCTTTTGGGGAGCCGGTCCTGATGTTTTCTGAAGTAATCCTCTGATATAATATACCACGCAGCTTTGAGCACTTCCCAGAGTTGTTCTTTAGATTTGGGCTGTCTTTTATTTCTTTCTCTCTTCAGGTGATCCCATTCTGCCTCTGTTATATTCAGGTCTGGACTCTGGGGAGGCCAATCCATGACTGTCAGTGTTTTATCAGCAGTTTTTCTCTCTATATATATGCTTTTACTGCATGAGCAGTGTGCTTGGGATCGCTATGCTGAAAAGTAAAACTGTTCCCAATCTGGCGCTTTCCAGAAGGAATGCCATGATGAATTAAAAACCTGTCTGTACTTTTTGTGTTTTTTTTACTTACAGAAATCCACACTATGAAAAAATAATCTGTTTTAAAGTCATCCAGCCCTTTGTTAAATTACCTTTGAATAAGCGCAAATTCAATAATACACATTTATGAAACAACCTTCAACATAACCTTTCACAAAATAAAAAAGCCTTTTTACTTTCATTTCATTTTCATTTTCATTTATTTATACAGGAAAGGAATTAAAAGTATCACTGGGTATTAAAACTGGCCTGACTCAGTTAAAAACTGTTTTTCAGCAGGTTCCCCTTATGCAACAAAAACACATTACAATACAGAATTAAAACAGAAACAACCAACAGAGGCAAAACAACAAAACATCGGCAGCTACACAGATGATGCAGTGTAGCAAACTGAAATGCTACACTGTAAAATGCTTGCAGGTTTGTCCTTCCATAACATACTGTTTATATGCATGTCTGTAATGTGTATTGGGGTTATGCGCCAATGTAGTATGGAATCTTGTTCTAGATCTTAGCTTAAGTGTGACAAAAAAACTTTTTATAGCCTAATATGCTGTAATTCCCGCTCTAATTTCTATTTTATATTGCTGTGAAAACATCAACAAATGTCTCCTTTAAACAGCTGGTTTTATTCAAGTTTCTCTCCAAAAGGGGCATCGGTAGCATAGTGGATAGTGCCGGCGCCCCATGTACAGAGGCAATGCCTTGCTGCAACGGTCGCAGGTTCAACTTCTGCTTGCAATCCTTTGCTGCATGTCAACCCCCACTCTCTCTCTCTCACCCCATTTCAATCTGTCCTGTCCATTAAAGGCAAAAAGCCCCCCAAAAAAATCTTAAAAAAAAAGTTTCTCTTCAAAAGCTACATTTTACAAGATTACACTGAACACATCATGAGAACGTTGCAATGTACCTTCGCCCAATGCTATTTTCTACTGAATAGAGAGTGAACGCACCACAATGTAAATCATTGCAACCTCCGTGAGCTGTTCATTGCGGCCACCGGCTGCTCTTAGGTAACGATAACTAGCTCTCCTCCTGATTTCAACACGGATTTACTGTTGTTGTTGTTTTATTTTATTTTATTTCTCTCCACATACACTCCTCTCAGTAGTGTAATGATAGTTGATGAGGTGGGTGTACTAATAGATAGATGGGTGGGTTACAGAGGAGAAAGTAGGTATACTCTTTATTCCAATGGCTTTGTGACTGACAGGTGGGTGGACTGTGGCAGACGCCAACAGACTGTCATGACACACTGAAACTTTTTTTGTTTTTGTCACAGGAGCAATTTTGGCGCCCCCCCTCTGGATGGTGCCCTGGGCGGCCACCTATATCGCCTATGGCAAGAACCGCAACTGGCGATTGGACCCAAAAATGTTTGATTCTTCACTCCATAATACTCTTTTCAACTGATCCTCATTCCAATATTTGTGAGCTTTACCATATCTTAGCCTTTTCATCCAGTTCCCCTTCCGGAAAAGTGGTTTCTTGGCTGCTATCCTTACACAAAGACCATTCCTGATCAAACTTCTTCGGACTGTAGAGGGGTCAACTTGGCATCCCGATGAAGCTGACAGATCCTGAGCCAGCTCCCTGCTGGACTTCTTCCGGTCTCTCAAAGAAGAGACTCTGAGAAACTTCTCATCAGATTTTGAAATGTTTCTTGCCCTTTCAGTCTTTTTTTTTGTCCTTGACCTCTCCTGATTCTTTAAATTTTTGAGGGGGCTGTCCAAAGTGTGTCACGGGTTGAACTTTTCACCTATTGGTTGATCGACACCCGAGTGCATGGATCGACTATACATAGCAAACTTACAGGTGCTTGTGCTCCTCTGACTTCCCTCCCCTCTATGCGTTGCGTCCGCACTGGATGCTGTGTACGAAGAAAGTAAGTCAAAAAGTCTTCAAAGGACGCAAGAAAAAACATCACATTTCAGTATTTCATACTTGCCGCACTCCAACTCCTCCAACCTGTCTGCTGCCTCTCTGAGAAGCTCAGAGACCGAGCAACTAGTGGCCCCAGCGATCACATTCCTCTGAGGTTTCCTCTAAGCTGGCTGTAGCTGTGGGGAGCAAGGCATGTATCGTCGATCCATGCACTCAGGTGTCGATCAACCAATAGGCAAAAAGTTCACCCCATGACACACTGTGGACAGCCCCCTCATCTGCATTTACATTTCTTCATGCCCTTCTGCATGCATGAAGAAATGTAAATGTGAAAAGAATTCAGGAAGGAATGTAAATGTATGAAGAACTGTAAATGTATAAAGAATGAGTGAATAAATGGACATGTTAAAATGTATGTAGGAATGTAAATGTACAAAGAATGTGTGAGGGAATGTAAATGTAAAAAGAAAAGACTTTTATCAGTTAATTAATGCCTATATTTATTTTTTATGCATTTTTAGAGCAATTAAATGGCATATGAATGTATTTATTGACTCATTTATTTACGTATTTATTTTTAATTTTGGCAGTTCCGGTCCTCCGTATAAGAGAGCCAGATTCAGATGCCAGATCAAATGTAAAGGGAGGTCTCTTAATACTTGCCACTTTAGCATAGAAGCTGCTTTTTCTGATTTTTTTTCTTTCTGTTTTTTAATACTGCATACACATTTTCTGTATTTTCTGGTTGTATTCTAATGAAGAGACCAAGAAATAATTATATATGTAGTCATTAAAGCATTACTAAAACAACAAATCTAATGGTGGCCTAAGAGTTTTGCAGAGTACTGTAGGTCACTTTGAAAAAACAGCACAAAAGCAAGATGGATTAGCTGATTCTGTATAGCAAATCACAGGATTTCCAGTCAAGGTTATTGACAAAGTTGTTCCAATAAGCTACCACATATGGAATTGATACGACTTCTTTCTGAAATAATGAACGTACTGTATATGACGATTACTATTGCGTGTTGAAGAGAAACAAATTTGACCAATTTCAAGTTTGGTTGGATCAATGGATAATACTGTTGGATTCTGTCCTGCTGTACTTTTAAATAACATAATTACTCCAGCAGGGATTGCACTTCACTAATAGGGATTACGATACTATATTTTAACATAAATTCTTGATATGTCATTAATGATCCATTTGAATTAAACAACTGACGAACCAAAAGTATGTTGTGAGTAAACCAATATGGGTAAAATAAGGATTTGTTTCTATATACGATGTCTTTATTGTTCCATATGTAGTACCTATGCGGGGAAAAATTAAGTTTATAAATCAATGACCAAGAAAGAAGCATCTGTTTATGAAAGTTGGATAGTTTTGAGGGGACTTTTTCAACATTATAATTACAAAATAAGAGGAAATTTAGACCTCCTAATTTAGAGAAAATAAAAGTTGGTATGAAGTTTGAAATTGAAGATGGGTTCTTGAAGAATTGTTTAGACAATTTATTTTGAATGTGTTGTTTAAAGTGTAAAAATCTAAAAAAAAAATGAAGGCAAAAATTTTGATAATTCTAATTTTAAAAGTTCCCAATTACTAGCGTTCAATTAACAATTGGACAGTTTTAGTCACAGTATCATGTTTTAGAATAGAGCTGTTCAGTTTCCAGTATGAACCTATAGAGGTTCATACTGGAAACTGAACAGAGAGATTTGTATTGAAATTGCTCTGTGATCTGTTAAAGGAGGAGTGAGTATTTTGACATTCATGACATTGCTATCAAAACAATTGGAAACCAACCAAAAGTCTATGCGTGATAAACTAGTAAGTGCTTTATATAAGAATTCATATCAGGATTTTTATCTCTCCATATATCCATATCATGTTGAATTTATGCATACATTGTATCGAATTAGAGGCCATAGAACAACTGGCTCGCAGAGGCCACCTATCTTGAAGACCATCCAGAGCAATATTAAAGTCCTGTCCCATCACTATCATTGCGTTTGGATATTTAGAAAGCCAATGTAAAAAGCGAGATTCTAAAACATCAAGCAATATATCGTTTTCACACTTTGAGTTGTACCCATACAAGTTAACTAGCAAGATTACAGTATCATTGATATTAATGATCAAAATAAAGAAACGACCTTTGGGATCAGAATGTAAAATGTCCCCATTAAGGAGTTCTTCTAAATAGCAGCACCTGCTGCTCTTTCTGAGCCATGCGATAACCAAATGTCATTGCCCCACTGTGCTTTCCATAACTGTGCATTGTTCTTAACTGAATGTGTCTCTTGAAAAAAAGTGTTTTGCTGTTTTGCAAATAGAAAATAAAGCTTTCCATTTGATATTCTGTCTCAACCCCCTGGCATTAAGAGAAAAAAAACAAACAGAAAAAGACAATGTAACAAAGAAGTACTAGGAACAAG